ACCACAAGAAAAACATATGGAAAACAGTCTTCGAACAAAACATACGAACAGGAAATGATACAAAATAACTTTGTCCTTAACCCATCATCGAGTATGTCGACTGCCTTCCACCAACTCAATGATTATGAATCTAAAAATTTAGTATAAAAAACTATGTGTATAAAGAATACTCAGTAAGATACCATGCTCGGATTTAACATTTTAATACAATACAGAAGAAAGCATTCAAACACAGACTTGCACATTCTGGCTTGCACCACCCTTCGGACTTGTCCTAAGGCATAAATGGATATATAAATTTGTGGACTTGTCCACATCTTTCATATTATGGTTTTCATGCATAGTTTAAGCATAAATTAATTACCATGAAATCCTACCACTTGAGCATAGAAAGTATCTTACCTTAAAACTTTGAGTAATTTTGGTTGAAGTGTGTACTTGAGAGTGCTAGGCTTTTGTTTTCCTTTTCATGTATTCTCACTGCCTATCTATCTTTTTGCAAGTAGTTTTTTGGTTGTAAAGACATTCACAGGAAACATTGCTTAATTATTTAAAGGCAAGGAAAACATATGGACTAAGTAAGGTGTAAATGGCGACTATTTACCAAGTTTAAAGTTTGTGCCTCCACGTGAGTTTTGAATCATCCCCAATATTTCATGCATGCATTCATGCACTTAATTGATATCACATTATGCCTTAATTTGAACACCTCATGCTGGCTCAAAACACCTCATGGTTGCTTTCAACTCCTCATGCTTGTTTAAACACTAACCACCTCATGCTTGCTTAAACATTAAACACCTCATGCTTGCTTTTACTTTGCATTACTTCACTACAAAGGTAACACTTCACGCTCGGCCAAGGGGATAATAAAGAAATGCTCATCTATTATAGTAAATAGGTGTAAAATTTGACATTTATCCCAAACCCCTAATTAACTAATCTTGGTAAACTTTTAATTAACCAACAACGCAAACTTGGCAATCACTAATAATTTGACCATATAAAATTTTGAAAAGTTAAATTACTATCCTAAAAATTAAATGAGCAAATTAAACGAGTACAAAATTTCGGAGTATTACATATGACGTTATAAGCATTGAGATGCAAATCGTGGAAATCAATCGAAAATTGAGTGTCAATCGAGTAGGTAATGAATAAACGATTAAGGAATTCGTTTTATAAAATATTTTGGGATCTTAGGGTAAGAAAAGTAGATTCTAAACACATTAAAATAATCTAAAGATACTTGATTTGTGCAAGGATAGGTACAAAATCAGATTTTTATCCTAAGAGACCATCTCATGCTTAGTACACCACATGCCTATTGATGTGCCTTTGTAATGGTCAATTCCTTCACCCATAAACATTTAACATGTGATGACTTGTCACTTTAACATTCAGTTCCTTCAACTCTAAGGCCTCCATCATGTCTTCTAAAGCTTAAGCACTCTATATAGATAGATAGATACATATCTTCTAAGTCACGTATGGCTTCATATAGGATAAGGGAAAATTCAAATTTGGCTGCATAAAGCCACATCCTACTTGGACACCTCATGCTTGGGGATACTTGTCCTTTAATTACCAATTTCTTCACCCTTAAGTATCACTTATGACCCCAATCCTCAAGACTCTTTATAAAACTCCAAAATAAGACATTTAACCCTTCAAAATTATCCCCAAGTGAAAGAGAGTGCAAAGGAAGTAAAGAGAAGAAACAAGAAGCTGGGAATTGAAGTTCTAGACATGTGAGTTTAGCTCAAGTTTTTTAAGGTTGTTTTCATTGTTTTTGAGAGGGTTACAATCTCTTGAACCTCTGAACTTAATTAAGGTCATGTTGGGGATGTTATTATGGCAAAAAGAAAGAAAATTGTTAGAAATATATTGAGTGAAACAACTAAGGACAGAAACTGCATGGTTGTTGGATTCTAGTGATACAACTTTCAATCTTATGTTATACTTTCAAAGGAACGTATATGTATCACTTTGAATGTTCTCATATAAGGTTAAAGGTATAGAAATAATCTTTAATAGGTTAGAAACTGATTGGTGGCATAGTAAGTAATGGAAACCTAAGACCCTACTGTAAACTGCCTGATTCATTGAACTATAAAAATGACTCAACTTGAGGCTGAAAACCCTGTACTTGTGGTGATATGAATGGTTATATTCACAAATATGTTATATAAATGTGTTAAAATTTTGGGATGGATTGAACGTGATTAAGGGTGCAAAAGATGGATAAAAAGGGACATAGCAGGGACTAAAACTCAAAAACAGTTTCTGTCCAATTTAGTAGTTTGCATAGTTTCAACCTTTACATGTGCACTAATCATCTCTTAGGCCTGGAAAATAGATTTTAGGGGGTGATAGGTGGTTAACAATAATTGGATGACGTTGATATTTATAATTGGACTTGAGAAATAGTGATATTTGTGGAATTAGTTTGCAATGCAATCGGTAATTTGAAGTAATAATGTTATCTAAATTATTTTGGTATAAATGGATGTAGTGTGGAATTTTTGTGTGTCTCTGTGTGCGTGTGTGTTAAGGTTATCAAATTGAGAATTGTCTTTTATATTAAATGGTGATACATGTGATTTTTCGACTTCAAGTGAAAAAGGAAATTAATTTACACTCTGTAGGAACACACACATACAAGGGTAAAAAGGTAATTGAAAATCTATTTGCAACTACGATGCAAGAACATAGTGTTTGTGATATAGTAGTGTTGGAATATTTAAATAACTCTGATAAGGAGCTCATTGTGTATCACATGATTATTATGATCATTGAGTATGTTACTCACGAGCATTTTCATATGCATGCACAACATACGTCCATGGTTGAAAATCTAATATTCACAATATGATTGTAAAATTGAGTTCCTCATAAAATATTTGATTGACCACTACTAGGGCACTAAGACATATAAGGCATGCTTATGTGATATTTTTGGCACCGCGGGTGATACTTCCTGATTGATTGCAAATGTAAATAGGGGATTGGCCTTTTATGATCACAGGAGGGTGGACCACTCAGCTGTATTTGGGATACTCTGATTCTTGGCACTGCCGAGTGTGATACTTTTTGGGTGATCATATGGGCAGTTAGAGGATAGACCTCTAGTGGTCACAAGAGGATGGTCCACTCGCTAGTGTCAATGTTAGATTGACCATTTGATTATTGATATTGATATTGTGTAAAACTCTATCCGGTGCATAGTAGGTGGGTCCCAATGAAAGACTTCAAATGAAATTATTTCAAGTTGACTTTGACGAATATCTGAGTATGATACATCTTTAGCTTGATGTTTAAAGTAAATGGCATAGTGTCATATACAATTATCACTCATACTCAACCTACATGATTTTTGTTTAGTGAGCATTGATTTATGTAGTTCTTACATTGTATATGAGCATAGAACCTCCTATGAGACATGGCTGGCTTCCGAAATTTGTTGTACATGGATGACTACTTGTAGGGTTATTTTGTGGACTCTAGTTGTATTATATTTTAGGGATCCTGTATGGCTTTTGAAATGTCATGTAAATATTTTTACAACCTTAGGATAAATATGTTGGACTATGGTTTTGTGATCATTAGTTTCGGATATACTTTTGGAGATTCTTTCATTTTATTAAAAAAAAAATGTGTTGGTGGATTTGGATGTCTAGGTCAGTCAGCAATTGTATTCCTATACTGGTTAATATATTGTTATCTATATGAATGAGGTGTGACATGTGTACCATATTTTAAATTATATGTACATATTTGAGAAAATTGATTATTGTTCAGGTTTTTTTATTCCATATTACAAAGAAAAGTTTGTCGAATTTTTTATAAAAGTATGTCATAGTCAAAGCTGATCATAGTTGCTTTGATGGTGGGTCAGCACTTAGTTGGTATCTACCATCAGCGCACAGCACGTGTCTGGTTCATTAGGGTAATTCAGGACAGGTTGTGTCACATTCTGTCCTCGGGCACTTCCCTTTGCCCAACTCAAATGCCTTCTAGCCTAAATGAAGATGGATCTTATTTGATTAGAATTTTAAATTTATCCAAGTAACTTAATCCCCGACTCCTATGTGTAGGAGGAGTCTGTCTCGATAAAGATCATAGTTGAATTGTGACTAGATTTACAATTGACATCCAATGCTTATCTCAAGTAGGACTTCTAAGGATAATGGTACTTAATTAGCCCCTGTTTGGTCCCCATTCTTGTAGATTTTTAGGGGGTTGAAAATTTTTAGAATAGTGATTGATGGGAGATGTGTGGTTGAAAAGTTTTAGATTTGTGTGTATTATTATTTTATTTGATGAATGTATGGTTGAGATGAAGAGAGAGAAAAATTTAATGTAATGTAATGAGATATAATGGGAGGCAAACAAGGGCTTAATCAAGTCCTACCGAGAATGCACTACCTGCCTCTATAAGTACAAGACTCCAATTCATTATTCGGGTACGTTTTAACATACAATTTAAGTATATACTCTTTCTTACAAATTCTCTCTCTAACTTAAATATTGGAGGGGCGACGAGCATACACCTCAACACCATTGTTTCGGGTATTGAAAGATTATGTTTGTGCTTATTCTCAATCCATAAGCTTGGAAAATTAATAGGTACAATTTTTGTTTCCATCAGTAACATGTTCTCGTAATAAAATAATTTTACACATAAACTTAAAATTTTTATACTTTTCAACCATTTAATGTCCAAAAAAATTAGTTTTACGAAACACATTTTCCCAAAAAATAAAGTATAGAACCAGAACTCTCTACGAACCGGACACTTGGGCATGGCGTGGCTTTCTTGCGTGATCTTCTTTTCTTTTCCTTTTTGACATGATAAACGTGTCATGTAAAAAATGTTTTTGTTGACAATATATACTAGAAACTAACAAAACGTAAAATTTTCAGTATTCATCAATCAAAAAGTCAAACTCATAAAACTAATCCCTCTCCCTCTCCCTCTCCCTCTCGCCGAAGTAAAGATGAGCGTTTTTACCAGTATCAGCACCCGTTCTCTCTCCCCATCTTCACCCCCAAACCCTATTTCAGAACTCAAAAAACCTTTAACTCTCTCATCCCCTTCTTCAAAGCTCTTCACTCTATCAAACCCATCTCTGAATTTTACAATCGCAGCAAGAACTAGACCTTTTTTGCCCATCAATGCTGTGACAGAGGACATAGAAGTTGATACAGCTGATGAAAACAGTGATAATGTCGAAGATAAACCTTCAACTACAAGAGAATCAGAGGGCATCAAGAATATTACATCTACATCTTCAGATAGATTGCTTAATGCTGCTATTGTTCTTGGTGCTGGCACTCTCGCCATCACTAAGTTGCTAACTATTGATCATGACTACTGGCAGGTGATTCATCTTCTTCTTATATTATCTGTTCTTTTTTTTGGGTTTATTTTTTTTCCTTGTTAGAATTAACATATTTGGTGTTCTTGATTAACTGGTAATGACAGTAATTAAGTTTATATTGAATTTTGCGCGGGCTTGGCTAAATTTGGGTTATATTACTTCCTATATCTCTTTAAGTTTCAAAAATTTCAAGGATCTAGCCCAAAGATATTGGTTGACATGTGATTTCAAAACCCTCTTGACATCTTATAAATTAAAATTGAAAAAAATGAGGAAGATATGGAATCAAATGATGTTCAATAATCTGATGTGCACTAAATGTCTATTTTCAGGGATGGACTCTTTATGAGGTTTTAAGATATGCGCCTGAGCACAATTGGATTGCTTATGAGGAAGCTCTTAAAAAAAATCCGGTATTTGCTAAAATGGTGATAAGCTGGATTGTTTATTCTTTAGGAGATTGGATTGCTCAAGTAAGGATTTCATAATTCTCAAATGTCATTTTGATTAGTATTTTGTGGCAAAAATGATATGTATTCATTTTGTATGTTTTTCTCCGTTTTCATTTGCTTATTAATTTGCAGTGTTATGAAGGGAGACCCCTTTTCGAATTTGATCGAACGCGCATGTTTAGATCTGGGCTTGTCGGATTCACTCTCCACGGATCACTTTCACATTATTATTACCAAATTTGTGAGGTGATGTTTGTGGCTTATATTTTTTCGAACCAAAATTGACTTTGAAAATAGTTGTGTTTTGCTGAAATTGTTTACTTTGGCTTCACAGGCTCTTTTTCCTTTCAAGGATTGGTGGGTCGTCCCTGCCAAAGTTGCCTTTGACCAAACTGTGTGGGCTGCAGTTTGGAACAGCATTTACTATATGGTTTTGGGTTTGTTGCGCTTGGAATCACCAGCTGATATTTTTCACGAGTTGAAAGCTACATTTTGGCCTATGTTAACGGTAAGAGCTCTCCCATTTAACACATTTCTTCTCGTTTAGGTGCTTAGGTTTGACTCCGTATGAGCAAGGCCATTATGTGATCTACAAAATGTAACATCACAAATAATTCATAATCTGTTGCCTCTTTTTCCCCTGCTTTCCGTTGGACGGTGAGAATTGGGAATGGGTTGTTTGGTGGTCTAATGATCTATGAACAGTTCAATATGATGATCCATATTGCAGATGAACCGCGCAGCACCTGTACACCTCCTGTACAAAATTCCTGCATACAAGGGGAATAACGCATTGCAGATTCAGCTTCAGCCAGTATTTATTTTTATCTTTAAACTCATAACCTTAGTGAGGGGAAATCAAGACAAGTGAAATGCCCAGAAATGTTTTAAGCCTCAGAAAATTCCAGCAGCAAATCCAATGGACAGCCATGAGCCACGTGTCATCATCTGGTCAATTGCCTTCACTATAAAATCGCATTTCACCAAACACATTCATAGGCCAATTTTGGGAGCACACACTGCACACGTGCACCAATCTCAACAATAAAAATAATAGATATCCTTAGTAGATTAGAAATAAAGATAGTTTAACTTAGTTGAACTTATTTTAATTTATTATAGTTTACTAATTTACTAGAATTAGGGTTTAATTTTATATATTTTGTTAGACTTAAATTAGGTTTTATTTCCTTCTTAAATTAGTTTTGCTTAAACTCTAATTAAAGAGGTATATTCATTGTAATACTTACACATGATTATTAAATAAACTCATATTTCACCCTCTAATTTCTTTTGAACTTCTTCCCTTTCTTCTCTCTTTCTCTTCCTTTCTTCTTATATCTCATTCTTATTCGTTGTGGTTTGCGTCAACATGTTCTAAGTTATTTTCCTTTAGTTTTGTAAAGTTTTGATTGGTGTTAATGGTCAAAAATTTACTGCACCCACCGTACAAACCCATAAACAAATCACACCTGCATCCAACCAACCTAGCCCCTCAACCAGTCACTGCCTTCCTTTACACCAATGCATCGCCATGACTTAGATATACATCAGAACCTAGTCCAGTTCATTACAATCCAGAAGCCTTTGTTCTGCCCATTCACCAAATTCCTCCACCAAACCCTCTGACCCCCAACTGTCCCACATAGCTTGCATTCCCAATCAGTTATTGTTGTCTATCATCCTATGTACCACTAGCCAAATCATTCTCTCCCTAACTTGACACCAAAATCCTAACCTTCTGTGGCAGGATCTTTGCCTCTGTCCCTTTCTCATTTCATCCAGGAAAAGCCATCTTTTTCTCTACTCTCAACCATACCTTACAGAGAGGATTATCTTATATTTGAGCTGTTTCCTACACTTTGTTTGAACGATGATTTCCTCATTTTAGAGCTTTGTGAGTTTATTCCCTAAAATGTTATGGAGTGCCTATTAAAAAGTTAGAAGATCAACTTATGAAAGAAGTGAAAAAGCTTTTTCAGCCTCCGGAGTCTCTTAGTGAACTCCTATCCTTACTTGAACAAACTGAAGATTTTTTTCTCAAAGTGGACCAACCATGATGCTCAAAGCTCTTTCTCCACTAATGAAAGAATTGGTCACTGATGAATGACTATTGCATGCAGATGTTACTAGATATTTGCTTCTTGTATGAGAAAATTTACTAGACTATTGCACCCGATGCCCATTATACTCATTAGAAAATGCAGGATATCTTTCAATTATTTATATCATCATTTGCATTTTTCTATGATAAATCTAGCACATTGTATTCTAAGGGAGCCATGATACTTGAAACCATGGCCAACGTAAGGTACTGAATCATGTTGGATCTAGAATGTGAACAAATGATAATTGACACGTTCCAACAATTTTTTAAAGCCTAAGAGAGAATAACCTAGAGAATATCTTCATATCTATGAAGGCAATTACGACTTATATTGGAAGAAAGTGACAATTTTTATCTAGAATTACTTACTCTCCTTTTGGTTAGTGCAAAAAAGAACAATGAGGAAGTTCTTCCCGTTGTCCATATTTGGTGGATATACTATTTGAAAAGGACATAGTCCACCTCAAACCTTACTTGATAGAAACTAAAATCTTTGGTGATTTGTTTGGAGGATTATAGTGTAGTTGTCTCTTCTGTGTTCAAAGGGACTAATGACATCATTGATCGGAATAGTAGTATCACAGTAGAAGGCAAGTTGGTTATGAGAATAAGTCAACTAGTGCCTCCCCAATCTGGCTTTAGTAACTCGGGAAACTGAAGAAGTTAATAAAGGATAAGTCTTGAAGAAGACAACTCCAATGTTAACATGTCGCCCAAGTCAATTGTGAGTGATGGTGAGACATGAAATGAGAAATTTGGACTTATCCAAATTTTTGGACGGGAACAATGAAAGAGGCTTGGAAGTATCCGGAAACAAGTCATTGGTGTTGCAATCATATTGTTTCTGTTATCTAGTCTAATGCTAGTATATCATGCTCCTCATTATGTGTACTCTATTGCAACATTTGTGGATGACTTGCTTAGATTATTGTTTGATCGTACGAAATCCCGAAAGTGTAAGATATCGTGAACAAGTAATATAATAATGAATAAGGTATCGTTCCTATGTACTTATTCTAGGTTTAGTTGATCATAACTCTAATCGAATAGATAAGTTTTGATTATAAATTCCATAATGATTTATCTAATTAAACTAACTATTCTAATGAGCAAATTATAAAGCTTTTGTAATTTATATGAGAGATTACTAAGAGCTCGAATCCCCCTTATTAGTTCATTTTAATAAAATTCGATATCATGACAATATAATCTCTTATGTGACATCCTAAGTTAATTAATAATCTCTCTCGAGTAGAATTAAATATATTCTCTCATGTGACATTCCTATATCTTTATGAAATATGAGAACATTTTCAGCATGTATTAAAAATGTTAGAAAATCTATTGAAATCACACAAAGTATAGAGGTGTATCTCTATCCTTTTTCGGATTTTACAATGATTGTTATAAGTGCTATTTATCATATTGTTTCTCTCGATAAAAATAAAACTCACAAATCAATCCAATTAACGATCAAATAATTGAAAGCATTAAACACGAAAACAATCATCCAAGAAATCATGCATATTGGACGTCAAAAGTTTTAATTTGCATTGAAAACATCATGATAAGGGTTTATCTATGTCTTAATAATTGAAAATCTAGCCTAGTATTGAAAAATTACAAGAAATCATGATTAATTGGTAGAAAATCTCCTAGGTTTTTAGTTTAGCCCCTGTTTGAGCCACATTATATTTTCATTATCATTCTTCTACTCATTTTCAATCACACATTATTCAATAAAATAATATTTTCCATTATATCAATAAATTTTCTTTCTTTTTCAACCACATATTCCCCATCACATCAACCAAAAAAATACATTATTGGAACAAAAATGTGCACCAAACAGTGGCTTAATGAAGAAAAGAGGATAAATCTTGAATCTCATCAATGACTTCTTGATGAATTTCAGTTGCGTCTTCTCTTCTTTGCAAAAAAAATATGGTTGAATTATCAATGGATTGAATTCTTGCAATTGCCTCTTGATTCTCTCAAAAGAACAATGATTATGCCTCTCCTTGATTGTGATAATTGATGATTATTAGAGTTTGAGAGGTGTCTCCTAATGTATGAGGTTGTTTTGTATTTATATGGCTCGAAAATAGTTCAAAAATCGCATTGAATTTGGTTTCTAAAAAGAGTTTTAAGCGAAATAGAAAAATTGCACATCTACCCTCGAAGTTGTAATCTACCTTCTAAAGTTGAGTTCCCTCAATTGGGGAGAAGTGATGGGAAAAAAGATACGAATAATAGATATCCATAGTTGATTAGGAATAAAGATAGTTTTATTTAAATTAGCTTATTTTAGTTTATTATTAGTTTATCATATTTCTCCCTCTAATTTTTCTTGATCCTCTCCCCTTTCTTCTCTCTCTCTCTCTCTCTCTCTCCCTTTCTTCTCAAGTCTTATTCTTGTTCATCACATTTTGTCTTGCTTGATGCTATTATTGGCATTTGGCCCTCTGTTTCTGTAAAAATATGTTTTACGAATTTTTGGAAATGTATAATTTAGCTACCATATTCATACTTGGATTCCGGTAAAAGGCATAAAGAACGTTTGCTAATCAACTAACCATGAATTGATGTTGTCAAAAGATCATATCGAGGACATTTCTGTGTGAATCATTTTAACTTTTGACTCAATTTCCTTATGTTGGATGGACTATTGTCCAGCTTCCAGTTCTAACATAAATTCAATTAGAAAATCTTGATAATATAGTACATCATTGTGTATAATTTGTATTATGCCAATTTCAGGTACTTGTGACTTGTATAGTTACACTGCTGAATCATTCATATATTTTATGTCATCTTTTCTGCATGTTTCTGCTAATTGTTCATGACAACAAGTTGAAGATGGTCCTTTAGAAGTCAACTCCTCAGTAGTTAGTTAATTTCCTTATTAACAAAAAGAGATATATATTATAATTTTTTTGGTGGGTAGTGATGTTATTAGTCCACTAGAATGACTTCGACATGTTAATGCTTCAATATTGTTTGTAATGTTTGAATTAAATAAATATATAAAAAAACAAAAACGAAAACTTTTCCATTCTTGACTCAGTATTTATTTGTGGCTGTTCCCAGATCAAGTTCAATAAAGAGATTGTCGATGTTGCTTAGTCGGTTAGTCCTCCATTCATGTCAGTGTATAGACATGAACTTATTTTCTTTGTTATATATGACAGGCAGGCTGGAAGCTTTGGCCTTTTGCTCATGTAATAACTTATGGCGTGATTCCCCTAGAGCAAAGACTTCTATGGGTGGATTGTGTGGAGCTCATATGGGTCACCATACTGTCAACGTAAATACCTTTAACATTTAACTTATGCTGTCAGAAAATGCAAGTGGATTGTGCTTAGAGACTAGACACTTCAAATTTTTTTTATTGTGTTCTTGTATCAATTTTACCCCAATAATGTTAACAAGTACTTCAAATTTAAAACTTTCAGTTACTCGAATGAGAAATCAGAATCGCGAATATCTGAAGCATCAGTGAAAGCTGAATCAAGTTCTTCAACAAATGAATTTCCCATGGTAAGATTTAAATATTCAGAGTTTTGCAGGATAGAAGTCAAAATATTGTGAGACAAGTTACACAAATTTCAAATTTTTCATTTGTTTTATAACCAAATTTGTGCACTTTTTAATATGAATAGTTGAATTTCCCTGGCATTTTTAATAAAAATTACAACGCAAGGTTTTATTGGTGCAACAAATAGTCATTCTTCTAATTCAAAAGATTTCACCTTCCAACTTCGAAAGTTGAAGCTAAAAAATTTTGGGTGCTGCCCTGTTCCAGCAGCTTTATCCTAGTATTTTAATCGAAGTTCCCCACCTGTCTGCAAGCCAGCCTTGTAATCATGTAATCTCCATTTCCTGACCCTAACAGCATTACTTTTGTGGTTCCCTAGGAGGAGGAATGAAGCAAAACATCTCACCAATCTTATGTTGAGCTTGTACCACCAAGAAATCTGCCCGCTAAAATTTCAGTACAAATTTCGAAGCTCGCTCACACGATCCCTTTACTAGTTGTTTGCTGCAGCTATAGCCGCAAGAGTCTCTTTGGAGCTCTTTGGGTGTCGGATAATTGGCTGGATTGCTGTGGCATAGTGAAATATATAGGTGCAATTTAAAGCTTACAATCATATGTATAATTTAGGCAAGCACAATTTAATGATTTGATACATATTTTGATAGACTATTGCACAATGTGTTGGAATGAGGAAGTAGAATTACCCAAAAATTAAAAAAATTATTTAATTGAAAAAACAAGATCGTCTAGATGCATATATTAACTATCAAGAACAAATGATTCAAATTGATTTTTGAATTAATTCTGAATCGTGAACTTTCAGTTTTTAATTTTAAGAACTCGATGCTCCAATCTATGGTATTTTCTAAAGTTGTACACCGATGGATGGACACCTTTTTTAATTAAGGCCTTGTATGGGAGGAATTAAAATCGGATTAAAATTGAAAATATAGCCGTTATTGTTGACTTTTATTAGACGAGTGAGATCCAATAACGGTCATATTTTCAATTTTAATTGACTTTTAATCCCTCCCGAATGGGGCCTAAATAAAGAAAATTCTTGAACTTGATAATTGAATAAAGTAAGAAAATAATTATTTTCAATCCTTGAACTTGGTAATTGATTCAAATTTGAACAATATGGAATTATTGTATTATGATTTGTTGGGTTCAATTAGATGTCTAGGCTTCATTTATTTCTATTTATAGAGATAAAATAGTTTCAATCCATATAAAATAAGAATTTCACATTCAAATATGAGTCTTAATTAAAATTCAAATAGAAGTTTTAATTAAAGTCCAAATACAAGTAGTTGATATTTAATTATATGTATAGTCCTAAAATTTCAATTACAATTAAATACAAAATTTTATTATAATTACAATTAAGCTCAAAACTTTTATAATAATAGCAATTAAGTTCCAATACTTTATAAAACTACCACAGGATCCTGACCGGACATATATTATTCAAACTCTAATTATTAGGTCTTATATACTCACTAGACCACCAATTTAATTTTTAGTTTGTATTTTTTTCACTAAAGGTAAGATACTGAACTCTCGGAATACATAAGATCACGGAAGTTAACAAATTTGTAATACTTTCCACCAACCCAATGTATAGGTATTTTATCCCCCATCCGAGATTCAATAATTAAGTACGAGCAAAAATGATCATTTTGCCTTCTAATTATTCTTACTAATTTAAGTGAAATTTTCTTCTACGGTCTTGTGACCTACTGATTACGCCCAAAGAATAACGCAGTAATTGTAGCACAGTTTTGGAGTGTCGTATCCACAGGGAGATAGAA